ATTTTCTTGGATCACTTAATTTGCCAATTTACCAGCCACATTGTTTCCCTTTTCTTCCCACGTGGCACAACTTATCTTCTTGCCGTTTTTTCCTTTTTCTATTTTTTTATTCAGATTTTTTAAAAATTTTATAAATATATTTTTCAAATTTTCAAATGTTTCCCTTTTCTTCCCACGTGGCACAACTTATCTTCTTGCCGTTTTTTCCTTTTTCTATTTTTTTATTCAGATTTTTTAAAAATTTTATAAATATATTTTTCAAATTTTCAAATGTTGCCCTTTTCTTCCCACGTGGCACAACTTATCTTCTTGCCGTTTTTTCCTTTTTCTATTTATTTATTCAGATTTTTTTTAAATTTTATAAATATATATTTCAAATTTTCAAATTTTTAGACGGGACCCATTTTACCAATTTTTTTCTTTTTATAATTTTTTTTCTTTTTTTTAAATTCATCGTTAGATCAATTTTACATCAGCATGAAATTTAACTCGAATGTTACATAATAGTGCTCAATGATTATTTCAATTAAATTAATTTTGTGAAAAAATGAGACTGATAAAAATATTCACTTGACACTTCTAAGGTTGTAAACGAACTGGACATTAATAAATAAACATATATTTATATTTATTCGTTTATTTTTAAAGATATTTATATTCGATTCGTGTTTGTTAAAAAAAATTATTCTGTTTGTTTATATTTATTCATTTAAATAATAGATTGTTCGTACTCGTTTAATTAAGTTAAACGAACTCATTCATAAATATTAAATAAATATATTTATGAATATATATAAATGAATACATTCATGAATAATAAACAAACTTGTGAAGAAATATATCATTTTTTTCATTTGGTAGAAGAAATATATCATTCAATTAGAAGTATATCATTTTTTTCATTTAGTAGAAGAAACTTGTGAAGGAAAATACAAAAGTAATTATTGTGAATTTAATTTTTTAAATTTCATTGTCTATTTTTAATAAATTTTATTTAGTAAAATTTTCCATTACTTTGATCTTATAAATAATTATATTTTTATTCAATATTATATACTTAAATATAGGAATATAAAATAAAGTTTATTACTTTTTTTGTTGTATAACACTTCAATTTTTTTAATATTTTATATGCAATTATACTTCACTAACAGTTATGAAAATACATACATTAATAATTCAATTAAATATTCATTAAAGCTTATTTTAATATATACTATTTTATCATGAACTAAAAATTTTTTAATATATCTTTAAAATATTGATTTAATATATATTGTATATATTTAATTAATTTAAGTTTTGATATTTTTATTAGCATAAAAAGTTATGATTTTAACTTATTATTACGTGTTAAACTACGGATAACAAATTAAGAGCATTTACTCGTTACTTTTCGAGGCATCCATACTTAAAACTTTTTCTTTATTTTTTTCTGTATCTTATAAATTATATCATCTAACATATATTATGATTATTTTCTTTCTTGATATACGCAAATCAATGATAATATAGTAGTAAATAATTGATAATTTAGTAATTAATCATTAAAAATTTAAAAGTAACAAATATAACTTAGTAATAATTATCAATAACTTAATGTTAATAGGTAATAATTTAATACTAAATAAAAAATAACTAAATAGTAGATTAGTGATAGCTTAATAGTAAATACATGATAATTTAGAAGTTAATAATTGATAATTTAGTAGTAAATCGGTAATAACGTAATAATAAATGAATAATAATTTAGTAGCAAATCAATTATAATATAGTTGTAACTGTAAAACAATATAGCAATAAATCAATGATAACCTATTATAAAATATATGATAACTTGGTAGTTTATTATTGATAACTTAGTGATAAATTAATGATAATTTAATAATAAATTACTGATAATTTAATAGTAAATATGTTTATGTTTAATACTAATTAATTGATAGTACATAGTAAAACATAAATAATTTATGGGTAAATCAATGATAACATAGTAATAAATAATTGATAATTTAATACTTAATTATTAAAAATATAAAAGTAAATTAATATAACTTAATAGTAAATTATCGATAACTTAATAGTTAATCAGTTATAACTTAATATTAAATCATAGATAATTTAATATAATTCAGTAATAACTTGATAGTGAATCATAAATAATTTAGTAATAAAATCTATAATAATTTTGTGATAAATAATAGAAAAGCAAGCAGTAAATCAATGATAATATAGTAGTAAATACATAATAATATAATAGTAAATTATTAATAATTTAATAATAAATTGATAACTTAATAATAACTCACTAATAACATAGTAATAATTACTAATAAGTTAATTGTAAATAAGTGATAATTTAATAATAAATTAATTAATCATTGATAATTTTTTATTAAATCATCAATAAATTAATAATAAATCATCATAAGTGTGGTATGTACAACTTTTGATCTCCCTATCATTGGTTTTATTAAGTTCATGGTATTTTTATTATCCTAACACTCAAGATGAAAATTCAAGGTTTGTTTCTACCAGTAATCATAGTTGAATCCTCAGTATTTTAAGGGCTCATAAATACTTACTACTCTTGGTAAAGTATAGACAAATCCATATATGTTTCCTATTAACATAATACATTTTGAGACTTATAAATACTTGTGATTGTAATGAGCATATAAGTCCATACATTTGAACTATATTGGTATAATGTATTTTGATATTTATAAATGTTCATTTTGTTATATGATGATTCAACTATTTATTGGTATTTGACAATTTTGATTACAATCATTTTGTGTATCCGAATTTGGATTTTAAATGTACAACTTTGTATATATAAGTTATGCTATATTTTCAAAATATTCAAATTTGACTTGTGTTGTGAGAGATTGTTGCATTTATTTTATTCTATATTATAGACAAATAAAGTCAATTAATTCAGAGGTTAATTAACGTTAAATTATGAATAATTATAGTGGTGTTATATTAATTAAATGTGATATGTTGTTGTTCTTGTATAGATCCCATAATGGGATGGGACATTGCAAGTAAATGAGAGGGTCCCTACACTCATCCTCTCCATGTATGTAATGCTAGTACATTGAACATTACTAACTTCAGTTTGTGAGGGAAGAGTGTAGTTCCTCTCTCAAACAGTGCAGCCTCCTCTCCACGCATGGGCAACCAGAACCAGACCAGCTTCAGCCACCACCAAATGCAACTCTGACGAGGCTCTATTATCGGTAATAACCCCAACAATTTGGGTTCAATGGGTTTCAGCTTTAATTTTAGTTTTAAGCGTAAATCAGTGACTTCGTGAGCTTGAATTAGTTCTAACAGTTTCGATACGGAGAATTAGGCACCCAAAGGAAAAACAATAAGAAGTCTTAAATATGGAGCGTTCTTGTTGTTCATTGTGTTTTTATACTGCATTTCCATTGCTCATTTTGCTTTCCTTGTATATCTAACACCTTTTATTGCAGTTTATATTATATGGATCAGTAGATATGGGAAGAATATCTCTTCACTACTGTTCTAGTCAGGCTGCCAGGAAGAAATGTTTCTACTGTTCTGGTAGAAATAATAGAACAGTATAAATGATAGGTTTATTTTGTAATATCTTTATTTTTTTTTTTCAATTAAAGACTTGTGTTTAATCGTTATAACATCTATGAAAATTACGTTTAAAGTTTTAAAAGTGGGACTTGCTTTATCCTAATTTTTCTTTTTTACCTTTTTTTCTTTTGTTTTTTTTTTTTTTTACATTTTTATAAATATTTTTTTAGATTTTAAATTTTTTTATGAACTCACATGATATGAAAGTTATATCATGTATTTGTTTTTTTTTTTTTACTTTTTTACATTTTTTTATTATTTTTATATATTTAATAAATATTTTAATGATTTTAAAATTTTTTGTATGACTCACTTGATTCTTAAAATATATCATGTGTTAAGTCATTTATTTATTTTTTTAATATTTGATAAATATTTTTTAATATTATGAAATTTTTTAGTGATTTTCATTTGATATTATTGATTAAAAAAATATTTTTTATCTATATTTCATTATCTATTTAATTTTATATTTATATGTATGTATTTTATTAATTAAGTTATTATTTTATATCTTAGTTTAAGATATTAATATTTTTAGCTCGATTTGGATGTTTATACAACAGTATGATAATCTCTATTTTTTTATTTCTTTTGATTTTTTCTCTTTTATTTGTTTGTTTCTTTTTTCCTAAATTTTTTTATTTTTAATTAATTGGATTAATTTTTAATATCTTAATTTAATATATTAACATTTTAAACTTAAATAAAATGTCATGTTCTAACCCAGTGAGTTTTATTTTATTTTCATTTTTTATTTTTATTTTTTACTTTTTTTATTTTTCTTTTACGTTTTTCTTTTGTTTTTATGATTTTTTAAGTTAAATTAATTTTATGAAAAAAAAAAGAGGGCAATAGAAATGGTTATGTGGGACATTCAATTTTTAATTAAATAAATTTTTTAAAAAATATGTTCTTCGAAGAATACACTAAAATAATTCTAATTCAATAAATTTTGATTTATTTTAACCCGATAAAAGAATAATCTTTTTAATCAAAAACCGAGTTGAGACGAAATTTAGGTTTTTCTTTTTTTGAAAAAAAACGAGATCATGGAAACGTGTTAGGATACTTTTTCTCAATTATTTTTATGTGTATATATATATATATATGTATATTATTATTATATATATTTTAAATTAGAATGTTCTGGCACCATTTATAAACTTTTATTATTTTTTATTTTTTTTTGTTTTTGTACTTTTTTTTAATTAAATAAATTTTATAAAAAAATAAAATCAATTAAAATATTCACGTATTACCTTCATTTATTTTTTTTATCTCTCATTTGTTATTTTTTTAATTATGTAAATTTAACAATAAAATTGATAAATAAAAATAAAATTCCAGAAAGAAAGAGAAAAAAAAAAAAAAAAAAAAAAAACTCTGTTCTAATCTAGCATTTTCGTAGTTGAAAAAACTCTACCCCAAAAACAGAAAACCCCTCACATTCCTCCCTTCCCTTCTTTTTCCTTCTTTGCCCCTTACCAAACACAATCTCTCTCTCCAATTTCCTCCAAAATTCAGAGAGAAAATAAAAAAAAGAAGAAGATAATTTTGTTATGTCAGACAAAGAGAGAGAAAAAAAGACAGCCAAGAATTTTCTGGAATCTTTGATGGAACGATCTTTTTTTTCCTTTTACACTTGGCTTTTTTGTTCAGAGAAGAGTCTTTTCGAAGTTTATTGTTTGTTTTCGTTTTGTTTTTTTGCTCCTTGACTCGGTCAACGACCAATATGTGTGTGATTTCGGATGCCCGTTTTAGACCGAATTGATGGGTCAACGATTCGTCAAAGTGGAAGATTGATGACGATTTTGGGGATTTAACTCTTCAAATCAAAAGTGGAAAAAAATTGATGGAGCGATTCATCTCCGTTTGTTCATGGTTGATTTTGGTGTTGTATTTGGTTTTCAGAGTTGCGGGAAATGCGGAAGGTTCGTTATATTTTTTTTTTTGGGTAAAAGATTGAATGAAACAATTGAGTTTATATAATCATATTATTAAAAAAATTATAATTTATTATAATTTTTTTAATAATATGATTATGTGATATAATTTAAATAAAAATTATATATCTTGGAATGATGAAATTATTTTATACAATTTTTTCATTTTTTATTTTTTTGTTTTTGTATTCTGATTTTTTATGAGATTCAAATTAGAAGAAATTAGTAGCAATTTTGGATTGGTTTAGAAGTGGCATGAGGCTTGACTGCTTGTTTTAAATTTCAATTAGCCTCAGTGCACTAAGTGACATGACTGAAGGGATAGTTGCACGCTTCGTAATGATTAATTTCTGCAAAAATTTTGGATATGATTTACGTTCTAATTCTCCATATTCAGTTAGGTGAAATTAACCAATGCTTTTTCTTCATCAATGTCTGACGTCTGGATAGTATTATGTTTATTGTGATGAACCTTCCAACTTATGGTTGAGTTTTGGCCCATCCCAACTGTTTAAATAGTTTCATAATATGATTTGATCTCCATTGGAGTTTTCGGTTTATGTAATGAAACAGGTGATGCTTTGAATGCTTTGAAGGCCAATTTGATTGACCCAAATAATGTGTTGCAAAGTTGGGACTCAACCCTTGTTAATCCTTGCACATGGTTTCATGTCACGTGTAATAGTGAAAAAAGTGTAACAAGAGTGTAAGTTTTCTTATAATATACCTTTTTGCTACTGCAGTTGATGTTACTTTCGAGTTTCTAGTTTGGCTTAATAAATGCTTTTCCTTTGTCAATTTAGTGATCTTGGGAATGCGGGTCTATCTGGTCAATTGGTTCCACAGATCGGGCAGCTTATGAATTTGCAGTATCTGTAAGTGGATAGCTTTTGCCCTGGTGATTACATGCTGCTCCACATTGTTAGAATTCTTTTAAGCAGCAAAAGATAAATAAATAAATAAAGGAAAAACAGAACAGCAGCATGCTTTGCCAAATAATTAATGACTTTTTTTATTATTTAGGGCTTCCTTTAGATTCTTTTCCAAGATTTGGTTGTAGTAGATAAGTTTCATTGGAAATCATTTTTCTTAAATTTGTAACTGTATAAAATCGAATAATCATATCTTGTTAGAAAAATACCTGAGTTTAAACTCAGGGTGAAACTCCAGCACTCAACCTTAGAAAAAATAAAAATATTTTAGAGCACAAATTTTGTGTGCTTTTTTCGCTATGCACTGGTTTTTATTGGTTATGCTTAATCATGAAGATGGTTGCATTCCATTGGATTTGGTTGCACATTTCATACAAATACTTGAATTATGTGCTTCTATTGAACTACCTTTGTGACTTTGTCCAAGAATTACTAAGTCAATTTTTTATGACAGGGGGCTTTATGGCAATAACATATCTGGAATAATCCCAGAGGAGCTTGGAAATTTGATAAACTTGGTGAGCTTGGATCTTTCCTTGAATGCTTTAACCGGGAACATTCCAACTACTCTGGGCAAGCTTCCAAAACTACGTATCCTGTATGAACACATTTTACATTTTTATGTGGTTAATTTATCTAATTTCTTTGTTCTCTTGCTTTCTAGTCGTATGTGTTTTAGTATATCTAGACAGCTTTTACGTGTTGATATATTGCTTGCTGAATTGGATTGGTAAATGGTTTTATTATTAGAAATGTATGTGCTTTATAATATGTTATGTTATGTATTTCCTCTTCTCTTCCTACGCATGCAGAATGTTCTTTTAGTAGGTTTTTACAGGACAAGAATGGATGGTAGGTAAATCTATTGGGATACTGAAATTTAGTTCATGTCTTACAACCCTTCCCCCAACTCAGAACATTTTAGCAATACAGAGAAGAAGAAGGAATTATTTAGGCTCCGTTTAGTTGTCTTTTTGGCTATTTGCTTTAAAAAAGCAAAAAGAGCATTTAGATGCAAAAGCAAATAAAAATTTGAAGGATTGTAGACAAAATATATAGTTCTTTTAGATGACAAAATGATGCTTTGCCAAATAATTAATTGACTTTTTTTATTGTTTAGGGATTCCTTTAGATTCTTTCCCAATACTTGGTTGTAGTAGATAAGTTTCATTGGGAATCATTTTTCTTAAATTTGTAACTGTGTAATATCGAATAATCATAACTTGCTAGAAAAATACCTGAGTTTAAACTCATGGTGAAATTCTGGCACTCAACCTTAGAAAAACTAAAAATATTTGAGAGCACAGATTTTGTGTGCTTTTTTTGCTATGCACTGGTTTTTATTGCTTATGCTTAATCATGAAGATGGTTGCATTCCATTTGATTTGGTTGCACATTTCATACAAAGATACTTGAATTATGTGCTTCTATTGAACTAGCTTTGTGACTTTGTCCAAGAATTATTAAGTCAATTTTTCATGACAGGAGGCTTTATAACAATAACATATCTGGAATAACCCCAGAGGAGCTTGGAAATTTGATAAACTTGGTGAGCTTGGATCTTTCCTGGAATGCTTTAACCGGGAACATTCCAACTACTCTGGGCAAGCTTCCAAAACTACATACCCTGTACGAACACATTTTACATTTTTATGTGGTTAATTTATCTAATTTCTTTGTTCTCTTGCTTTCTAGTTATATCTGTTTTAGTATATCTAGACAGCTTTTACATGTTGATATATTGCTTGCTGAATTGGATTGGTAAATGGTTTTATTAGTAGAAATGTATGTGCTTTATAATATGTTATGTATTTCCTCTTCTCTTCCTACACATGCAGAATGTTCTTTTAGTAGGTTTTTATAGGACAGAGTGGATAAGAGGTAAACCTATTGGGATACTGTAATTTAGTGCATGTCTTTCAACCCTTCCCCCAACTCAGAACATTTTAGCAATACAGAGAAGAACAAGGAATTATTTAGGCTTCGTTCAGTTAGCTTTTTTGCTATTTGCTTTAAAAAATCCAAAAGCTCATTTAGATGCAAAAGCGATTAAAAATTTGAAGGATTGTAGACAAAGTATATAGATCTTGTAGATGACAAAATGCATGATCCTACTTCTATATAGACCGATAATATTATAATTGGTTTCACATTTTAAGCTATTTTGTCCATTTAAAATCTATTATAATATTGCGTTTTATCGTTTGCATTTGGTTAGAAATTTTTAAAAAATAAAAAGCGAATAGCAAAAATATCAATCAAATGGAATCTTAATTTCACAACTTTAGAGCCCTCCAAGAATTTATCAGTATGCATCATTATAGAAGTCTACTAAATCTAAAAAAAAGGGGATAAAAATATGTATTTGCATGGACTTAGCTAATCATAATTGGATTAGGACAGCTAAAATTATTAGATTAGGAATAAAAACCTAAAACTACCAATGACACTGAACTGAGAGGACATTTTGATTGCTGAAAAACCCATTGTTTAGTTGTGAGCTTCCAGAAAGGATAACTTTTATCTAACGAACTTACAAATGGACCATCATGGTACCAAAGACTAGCTAAGGTCCAAAATACCAAATCCCTTCCACTGTGGTTGTTGGTGTTAACTCCGAAGTTCTGTACTGTATTCTTTTCTTCTCTTCTTTATTCACGATCTTGTTTGGACATCAAGTGTAACAACCAACAGGAGGAAAACATTAAACTGAGTGAATTCTAGGTGATGACATTGTAATCCCCCAAATACCTCGTTGGGTATATGTTTATACCTACGCTTGTAAGATGCCTTTTGGCATTCTGGCTCACAGTGGATCATAACTCACAAAAACTAGCCCGTTGTGGGCTCTCATTTTGCACTAGTGAGATCTTGGTATTGTGGAGTGGGTGTTAATTGTGATCATGATGTGTTGCCTTGACGTGGACATCAAGAATTTTAGTGGTTGGGCTGTGATACCCTTACTACATCTGATGTGAGTGTCATTATTAAAACCCATATAGGGATCCAAGTCAATTATTATTAGCTACTGGAGCTTAAGCTTTGGGGGGCCACATGGTTTAGGTTAAAAGGTTGTTGGGCCAGTTATTCTTAGGTGATATGGGCTATATAGATATAGAAATGGTTTCTTAAGTGCCATAGACTTTTTCTTTTAATTATATCTGTGCTAATATTATTCACTAAGCATGAGTTTTTATCTGTTACGTATCTGATCATCTCATCAATATGCAATATAATTAATGCTTTCTTTCTGTGGAATAGGCGTCTCAACAACAACAAATTGTCTGGACAAATTCCTAGGTCCTTAACTACTCTTAAGTCACTGCAAGTGCTGTGAGTGGTGCTGTCAGATTTTTTTTTGCATTAGCCAGTTCAACCTTAACTTCTAGAACAACATATTAATTGTGTGAGATGTTATATTATGTGACACAGGGATCTTTCAGACAATCAGCTAGTAGGTGATATTCCAGTTAATGGTTCCTTTTCAGTACTTACACCTATCAGGTTTTTTGCCTATTCTATCTCATTTTGCTCTCACCCTATCACCCGACTCCTGACGCTCACCACCACTGCTTTTTCCCATTTTTTTATCTTTAATACTCTCAGGCCTGTGTCTTAAATTGCTGCATCTTTTTTTCTCAGTTTTGTTAATAATCGACTGAATAATCTTCTACCTGCTCCACCACCTCCTATCTCACCTACAGCTCCAACTCCATCAGGTTTTTTATTGATTTTATTATTATTATCACTGCTAATAACTCTAAACTGTGCCTAACTTCGGGGCCTGCTTCTCTTTTATTAGTATTTCTTCTTTTTCTTGAGGTATTCCATGGAATTCTCCTTTGCATTAACAACTGTTTTGGTATTACCATGTTTCTGTAACATACTAAGAATTGCTGTAGGTTGAGTATATTACATCCTGAACTTCCTTATATCTGGGTCTGTTTTTTAAGAATTTACCTTTGAGTTCAGATCTAAAATCTGATGATGTTCCTAGGAACGGCTTTAGGTTCCTTAGTGGGCTAGAACATGAGCTCCACCTCTAATACCCCCAGTCCAGAAGTTCTCTCAGTTGAAATGTTGCCTCCTGCATTGGTGTTATTACCAGCTGAAAATGTTAGTAATAGTTATGAGCATTGGTGTTACAGGTGTCTTGGCAGTATCTATATTTATCTAACTTATACTGGCAGGTAATAGTGCCAATGGTGCTATTGGTGGAGTTGCTGCTGGAGCTAGCCTGCTTTTTTCTGCTTCTGCAATTTTACTTGCTTGGAGGCATAGAAGGAAACCACAGGATCATTTCTTTAATGTACCTGGTTAGTGATTTTTCAAAAGATAGTTTTAATTGATACTATGCCGTTGTATGCATGTCTTCATTTTTCTAATTTTCTTTATAGCTGAGGAGGTCCTAGAAGTTCATTTGGGAAAACTTCAAAGGTTTTCTTTGCGTGAACTACAAGTGGCAACAGATAACTTTAGCAACAAAAACATTCTGGGTAGAGGTGGTTTTGGTGAAGTTTACAAAGGTCGCTTAGCTGATGGTTCTGTAGTGGCAGTAAAAAGATTTAAAGATGACCGTACTCCAGGTGGAGAGTTGCTGTTCCAAAAAGAGGTAGAAATGATAAGTATGGCTGTGCATCGGAATTTGCTACGTCTCCGTGGCTTTTGCATGACCCCTACAGAATGGCTGCTAGTCTATCCCTTTATGGTTAATGGTAGTGTTGAAACCTGTTTAAGAGGTACCGGCTCTTGTTTCCTTATTTATTTCATTTGTCATGTTTCCTGTTTATGCATTGCATTTATATTATGTGTGTTATTTATTTTATATGTTTTCTTCTGGTTACCAATTCATTTCAGATGTAAACTATTTATTCTTGTGTGAGCTTCATATATCAATATCTGCTCTATTGTTTCTGTAGTTTGATAAGAAATTTTGAACCACCGATCACATATCATAGTCTCGTTCTAAAACATTTTGACTTTCTTCTGATAATTTCATACATTTGGTAATGTGGATTGTCTTTGAATTCAAGTGGAATTTTGAGAAATTCATGGAATCCAATAACTTTGTGAATCTCTTCTTGATTACAATGGACCATCTGCTCATCCTGATTTTTGCATTCTCTGAGGGCGTCCCGGAGTCCATCAGCCACTTGATTGGGCTATAAGGAAGCGGATTGCAGTGGGAGCTGCAAGGGGGCTTGCATATTGCATGATCATTGGTGATCCTAAAGATTATACACTGATGATGTGAAGGCCTGCAAAAATATTGTTGGATGAGGAATTGAGGCCAGTAGTTCGAAACTTTGGGCTGGCCAAACTGATGGAACTATAAAGATACTCATGTGACAAACTGCCGTTCGTGGCACAATTGGTCATGATAGCTCCTGCAATACCTATCACTGGAAAGCTCATCAGAGAAAACTGACTGTTTTGGGTTATGGTTGGTTATGCTTCTTGAACTCCTTACAGGACAGAAGGCTTTCAATCTTGCTCGGCTTGCAAATGATGAAGATGTCATGTTGCTTGACTGGGTATATACTGTTTTTCCTATTAAATGTGTCTCAATCGTGGTGCATTTCACAGTTTGACTTTTGTCATTCTTGTCTAGTGTTGGAATTATTCAATTCTTGTTTCACTTGGTTGGCCAAAAGCAACAGATAAAAGTACAGTATAGCAGAACTACCCTTATAACACAGTGAAGCTCTATTTTATTTTCCTTGCAAGGTGAAAATGCAAAAGCAGAAAAGTAGAAATAGTTGAAACTTGAAATTGTTTTCTCTACAAGGTGAAGAGGGAAAAAGAAAATATAAAATAGTTGTTGGGTGATGCTATCTTTTCTCTTCTTGAAGTTGCTAGCAGTCAAGATACGTGGGGGTTCCTAAGATCCTTTCTGTTCACTAATTTTGGGTATGCTTGTTTTTAAATGAAGTTGGTTTAAAACAAATGGTTTTTGGATGCCTATGTAATTAACTACTACAATCTTGACATTGATCTTTGCTGCATTTTTTTTTTTATGCCATTAAGATTCACATCTTTGTCAACCGCAATTATGTCAAATTCAAGTGAAGCTTATCAATGGTACAAATGGTTTCTGTTTCTTTTTTTTCCCCTTCAACTTGACAGCATGCTGAAATATCAGGTAAAAGGGCATGTGAAAGACAGGAGTTGGAAAGGCTGGTTGATTTTGATCTTCAGGTAATTACATAGTTGAAGAAGTGGAACAGCTAATCCAGTTGGCTCTTTTGTGCACTCAAGGCTCCCCCAATGAAACGACCTAAGATGTCTGAAGTCATCATGATGCTGGAGAGTGATGGCTTGGTTGAAAGATGGAAGAGTGGCGAAAGAAGAAATGTTTGGCCAAGAGCTTAACCATAACGGCTTGGCTGAAAGATGGGAAGAGTGGGAGGAGGAAGAATGTTCAGCCAAAGAGTACCCAACCGCCTGAATACTAATTGGATAATTTCAGACTCCACACATCTCACATCCTCCTAGATGACCACTTTCTGCAATAGGTCTTCAGGCAGGGTTGGTTTTGTATTTTAGATTCGCATTGTTCAACATTTGCGCATGTAGTTTTTCATTTTGGTTTCTTTTTGGCCCATTTATCCTGATTTTGTAATTTACACCACTACAATAACTAGTTTCCATCATTTCCTGAATTGCCAAGCCTAATTTCCAAAAAGAGAAACAAGAGTCCAACCTTTAGGAAAAGGCCCGGTTGTGAGGGAAAAAACCTCTTCATTTTTTTTTTTAATCTGTAAGCGGGGATTGTGGTAGTCACATAAGTTGCACTTGAACATTTATTTATAGAGAATAATTATATTGAATATGTAGTTGTATGTTGTACAAATTTTTAAAATTAACTCAGTGGCCAAAAAAATATTTAAACTTTATAACATTTAAACTTTGTTTCAGTGAAAAATATATTAGATTGATATAAAATTTATTATTTTAGATAATAATTATATATCAAGATGATCATTTATCTATCTTTTTGTATGTAAAATGTAAATTTTAAAACTGTTAAAAGTCATTGATCTAAATATTTTTTGAATTTTTAAATTAAAAATTTATCTTAAACATATAATTTTTATTAATTTATTTAAGTTTAATTTAATTAATTAAAATTAAAATAGAGTCTATGTGATATTAAATTACTTAAAATTTTTATTTAAATTTTAAACGCCTTAGTAAATTTTTATAAATTTTAATTTAAATGAATTTTTTTTTTATTATTAAACTTTTTTTATAATTAAACTCAAAAAGTGCTAAAAGTACTTAACTAAAATATCCTTAATAATCATTATTAAAAATAATCATAATTCATTGAATCATATATGCATATTAATGATTTTATTATTTGTATGTTGTATCAGTTGATCACCATAATATAATTAAATCCTTTTTGTTCATTTGAAATAATTTTTTAATTATATCATTCTTATAATTTAACTAAACTTAAAAGTTAAAAGTTTTCATTAAAGAAATTCATTTGATAAATTGTTATTTAATTGTGTA